TGATGTAGGTGCTTTTTATCTCTTTCTCTCTCATATGTAGATTATATCCCCCTAATATTATATACTTTAGCAACACTAACATTTTATTCAGCAAAAATATGATTCATTAAAGTTAGGACCTATTCTTTTTTTTTTTTTTTAAAGACAACAAATTGTTTTGCAGTCATTAAAAGCCAGTCTTGGAAGCATCGACTGTACTGCCTAAATCTGATGAAGGCTGCGGTTCTGACGGCAAGCGCCAATGGCAAGTTACACAATGACAGGTTAACGTACTGATGCACACACAGTCCACATCCCTACCCACTTGGACACCTTCAATCCTACTGTCTTTCTAAATTGCACACCTTTGTCTGAACATCACAGCCGGATCCATGTTGGCTGAGGTCATTCTGACAACCTGGCGAATTTCTTTGGCAATCATGCGGAGTTTCTCAAAATTTACCAGCCCGTCCACTTTGGAATCATTTCCTGCAGAATGGAAACACACACAGATATGGGAAAAAAAGAAAATAAAACAGTGAGAAATACTTTTTAAAGGGCAATGTGTTACTTGGCCCCCATACCCTCCCTCCCTGCCCCTCCACCAACAAAGCCGCTTCAACCAAAACTACAGTGAAACAGAAAACTCTGGCAAAACACAAACGACAATCAGGCCCACTCCGACCTACTACGGCTCTTGGGGATCCATTTCTAAAGGCACAGTATTAGCAGGAGGGAAAAGGAATAAGTGAACTATGCCCAAATTCATTAGCATAGATGTTAAAATCATATGAATATAGATCTGACATCAACAGCGCTCACATTCTGAAACGAGGTCAAATAGCTCCGAAACATCGCAACCAAGAATTGGGCGAATTTGGAAATGCTGAACCTTAACCGACTGCGAACAGAACTTTGGGTAAAAAGGAACAAGATGGAAACCTTTAAACAAAACCCCTTGAAAACGCTGAAAGCAAGAGTGGGAAGTGTTATAGCTGAATGCCACAATGTGGAACAAAAACCCAGACACATTGCAGCAACGAGTTTTGGTAAGAGAGATATATTTGAAGTAGTGTAACTACTAGTTAGCACACTCACCTACTCATCTACCCTAAACCTTAGGATACCTGAAGACTAAGCATTGCTTTAAAATATTAAACTCATGCATTTTTAGTTTCGAAGACCAGTCTCTATTTCATTTTATTCCTGCAAAGGACACCTCAAGAGCATCTTACTGGCAGCTTCTTTTAGACATCTGTTGGATCACGGAGCATTGAAGAAGGGTCCAACACATACTCAACGTTTAGTTTATTACTTCTCTACATCTGACATTACCTTCATGCAGAAACGTGATATCCTTCTTGACAACAGGAAAAAGCGGAATAATTGGAGGCTGCATGCTCTGGCTGCTAAGGATGTTGCGGTATTTTGCCATGTTTCGAGACGGATCAAAAAGGTCTTGAAGGTCTCTGAGGTGCTTTTCATACTTGCTGGGTAACTTTTCCCACGTGCCTCTGAGACGCGCTACTGGCGCTAGATTTAACCCGCTGTAAGGCAGAGACATGTCAATACCAGGTGTTAGCGGAATCACTACCTTTGGTAAGGAAGTAAAGGGTCAGGTTTTTCTGTTCTAAGGATTAAAAATAGCTTTCACAAGGTTAACCGTAAAGCTGGGGGAACACCAGGCTGCGAGTTCATCACCATGAACCTCTGCTGTTCACTCTGGTGAGCAAGCAAAAAGGAGAACTGAAAAGCGTGACTGCTCCCAGCTCACAAGGGACTCACTCCAAGCCAGCCTGCCAAAACAATCTCCCCGTAACACGGCACTGATGCCCATCTAGTTTAAGAACCGCTTCTCTCCTGTACAAATGTATACCGCAATAAGGACAAAAAGGGTGAAAAATGAATGAGGTGAACACAAGGGAGAGCCGAGCCCAGCTTGTCCCCGGAAAAGCAGCAAGACTCAAGAGGAGCACGTTTGGAGCATGTGTAAACGAGCACCAGCAGACTGAGAACGGGGAGCAGCAGCTATGCTAGAACTTGTTATTGTGCCCTCATTCTCATTAAATAAAAATATATTCGGAATTAGTTGGATGCAACAAAAAACCAGATGAAAATAACTGAAATCTACTCATTCTCCCGATCGTAACTTGTCACCAACTTTGCTCGAGAAATCCTGCCATGAGTGCAAAGTCCCTGTAGCTGCAGAACTGGGAAGTGACATTCTCCAGCACTCATCAGTAAACCCAGAATCACAGAGTTACTGAATTTGCTATTCTAAGAAGATTTTTTCCTCATTTTGGAAGCCTCAAAAACTCCTTTTGTAATTGGTTCTTTTATTTATTTATTTTTTTAATACAGATTTCTCTCCATGCTGTGGTCAAATCCCAAACAAAGCCTTCTCTCACGTGAAAAATCAAACATATGCCACCACACAGCCCCTCTTTTGCAGGCTGCATTAGGATGTTACCTTCCTCTTTCATGAAAAGATGTCATTGTACTGATACACAATGCAGGGCAAGAGAGAGAACCCTTTGGCATATGCTACCAAAAAACATATTCCTCTTGAAATAAGGGTTATCCCAAAAGCTCATTAATTTTTTTTTTTTTTTTTGACCAAAGACGACTTCAGTCATGGTCTGATTAGCCTTGAGGGAGAAGCATTTAGAGTAATTTCACCACCTACAATGAAACATGAGACATTAGGGAGCAGAATATAGAAATTAGATGCAGTATCCACGTGTGTATTCACCACGTAATGAGCAGCCACAACCGTTGCCCAGTATCCTTTAAGGGAATTCATGAATTCTTTAAACATATGACTAAACAAAAGCCAATACCATTTGACAAACTGCCTAGACATGGAAGAAAGTAGTTTAAAATGGTCTTTTCAAAGGTAGTGCTGGTGCTGGGATACAGCAGGAAATCTTTGATGAATCGTGGTGTCTTTTTTTTTTCTTAAAAGAAACTTGGGTATAAGACAATTGCAAATAAAGGAAATGCTGAAAAGTATCAGCATCTAGTATAAATCAGAAGAGAAAGTCTAAATGTGCAAATGAAGAGGGGAAAAAAAGAGAAGTGAGCAGATGACAGGAAAGAATGAAAAGGAAAATTAAACTAAAATAAGACTGATTTGAGGAAGTCCTTACAATGAAAGGAAGAAATAATCTCATCACGGCAGATATGACTCAGTGCACACTGAAAAACTAACAGTGACTGAAAAAAGAAGGGAAATTGGGTGCCAGAATCATGGCAAATGACAGCAACGTTCAGGCAGGTTTCTGAAGTTCATCAATCAAATACCGCTTCTGTCCAGATCTTCTCTTCCCCTGCCAGGTAACGGTTAAAAAAAGAGGCAGTCGCATCAGCCACTGCAATAAGACTGAGGCTGAGGAAGGAAAAAACAGACTCCAGCAACAATACATCCTTTTGTACAGTCTGCCTTCTGAAAATCTTGGTAATTCCCTTCAAAGCACACAGTAATCTGTTCAGGACGTACCCATTTCTTTTCTTTCCGTTTAGATTACGAGAATTGCCTTTGACAGCACAAATCACATCTGACAAGTGGGGAGTATTTTACCTTATGACCGCAAACATGGAGTTGAAGTTCTTGCATTCTCGGCAATGGAGGGCAATTTTAATGAAATGCTTAATAATCTTCATCCTTTTGAGTTGGTTGGGCTCTGCTAAAATTTCCATGGCAACCCAGAACGTCTCTTGATTTATGACATCCTCAAACTGTTTCAGGTGAGCATTTCCCGTTTTGGAGTCCAGCTTGTAAAGGTCATCGATGTATTCCGTAGGCTCAATATTGCGGAACAACTCGAAGTCTCTCATGGAAAGCTGTGTGGCGACCTCAATGGTGCTCAGCTGTAGGAGGGAGATCTGGCTTTCCCTCAGGAGCTCTTGAGCATCCTCATCTGAGCACAAGGTCTCTGTCTCCATATTGTTTTTTAGATAATACCTAAAAAACAAATCAAGTTACAATAAAGCATTAGAGATGCTCTTCAGAGGGTTTGTGAACACAGAGACATTGAACCGGACGGCGCTGACACCGCAGGCTTGTTTATGCGAGACTATTTCCACATTACTGTTGACAACCCAGCATGAGAGGCAAGGACAGAGGCAAGAAGGGGCAGCACAACCTTGTACTTTAGCTGGTATAAAACACCATCACTACTGAAGTGAAGAAACATCTCAAAAGGCTGTTCTAATCTACCTCTTCGCTAATATTTTCTACGCTGTAGCTTTCACCTTCAGGAAAATGTCAGTTACTTTTCCATTTGTAAATCCAACATTTTAAATACACATTAGTGGTGAGAAATCTCTTGTTAACGTATTTCTCCATTTCTTACCCAAATTTAGCATGGTTTCTTACACAAATACAGTGTGGTATATTAATATTTACATGAAGAACAGAGTATTCAGGAAATGAAAATGCATCTGGAAAATTCATTGCCATGGTCCCAAGCAGATCACTTTCAGATATACAAAAGTTTATTTCTCATACATTCCCTCTGTTGCCTAGCAAAGAAGACTAAAGAATTTTCTACTTAATAAACTTTCTTCTGGGATGGATCAGGTCATCAGATAAAACTGAAGCACTTAACATCTCAGAAACATTCATAACAGTTTACATAAAAATGGAAGAATTTCTCTCAGGTTAGTATCACTTCATTGCAACATGACACCACCAAGAAAGAAATTAATTGTGTGCTCTAGTTCTGAAGTACATGTGGGAAGTGTCAGAACAAACACAACTTTTTGCTTTATAAGTGTAAGCCGCTACATACATTATCCTGATCTGCTAAATTTACTGTCATCAAGCAAGCTTGCTGTCAATCTGGGGAGAGGTTTTCTGGGTGCAGAAGAGGAAGGTAGAACAAAGAAGAAAAGAGGAGAGGGAAGTGGAAGTTATTGACAATTAACTGCTTGTTCTTCTATTTCAGTGAGAACATCCCTCCCCAGTGTTCCAGTGCTAAAAGGCAAATAAATCCAACTGAAATCACAGCAAGGGCCATTTACCGTCCGTTGAGCTGAATCCTGTCAGCCAATTTTGAAAACTGATCCGGGAGCCTCCGCTGCTTGATGACTCCCTCGGGGCTGACAGACACCTCGCAGAGGGAGTAGGTCTCCGGGGCTCCCGTCAAGTTGAATTCGTGGACGGCGTGACTCACCACCTCTTTTGCTGTAGTGTCTTTGCTGATGATAATGTAACAACTCTGCTGATCTGCTTTGAAAACTCTTATTACTTGATCCGGAATATCTAAAATAACAGAATAACACCTTTCATGTATGAAGTTACTTGTCCCTTGAAAAAACATGAGGTCATTTACTGTCTCATTTGATAGCCAGAAAACAAAAAGCAGCTAGCAAGAAAAAAAAGCCATGCTGGACTTTAAATATTCATTAAAATATTCAGCAGTTTCCTTCAGTTTTGAGAGGAAGAAAGAGGACTCGTCTCTGCATTCCCACAACTCGCTATAATCCCGGGACCACAATCGAAGTCCAAGACACTTGGCCGTGTTACTAAGCTGTAACTGCCCTTCTCTGCGTGTCTCCAAAACTCTGGCAGCATCATTCCTTCTTTGGCTCTTTTGCCTTTGCAAGAGCCAGAACTGATGTGCGTGCCAAGACACCTCCCTGGGAGCAGGAAGCCATTGAGCAGGCGTGGATGGGCTGCAGGGGGCAGGACGTGAAGAGGAAAGGAGATTGGGTTGCTCACATAACTAGCTGCAAACTTCTACACTCCCTCTCTCACCCTGAAGGACCTAAGCTGCTGCCAGCAGTTAATTCTTTGGCTAGTGTATTTATTTATAGCACATTTTATGTATTATAAATGCATTAGAGAACAGCTTTATGTGAGGCAGCCTACAGCAGGAAATAAATATCTAGAGAAACACGTGTTTAATCTACAGCTTGATGATTGGAAATAATTCACTCCATTAGTTATTACAGAAGGCTTGTTTTTCAAAATAAAACTGATTCGAAAAAAAATGTCCAGAGTCAGAGCGCACTCCAGTTTCAAACTGCAGGAAGCAGAGTTTTCCCCCTCCCTAAACTCCGAAGACTAAACCTTCACAAGTTTTCTGCAGACCTGAGAAGGTGTGAGGCTCTCACTGAGCCCTCGGCCACATCTTGAGAGCCTGCAGCTATTCAACCCCCATGTCAGAGGCAGATGTGCCATTAACTCCTGCATCAGATCCCCAGCGAGAGAAGCGAAGGGCTGTTACTAGAGCCACAGCCTCCAACACAGCCCTTGGCTTCTCCCCCTGTTACCTGCCCGGATCGAGAACTAACTCCACTAACAGTTTCAGGATTATGACTATCACATGACCAGAATAGTCTCATTAGTGGTTGGGGAGTAGTTGAATTTGAAAAGCTCCCTGTACACACGAATGGGGGCAATAAAAGCAAAGAGTAAATATCATGTACTTATTTTAGAGTGAAAGTGGTGAACACGGCATATTGAATAATTTGGGCAATGCCTGCACTCATAAAAATCATAATAAATCGACAGAAGAGGCAAACACCTCTACCTTGGTATCAACAGACCTAAAAAATCATAACAGCAAGAAGTGAAATGTAATTTGGAGGGGGAAAACAACACAACCTTGTGACAGGTGAAGGAAATTCATCCTACAGACACGTTTGTCTCCGTGGTCTTTGCTTTTAAGCAGCTGAACATTAATACAAATTAAGTTCTAATGCATTATTCAGCTTGTGTTGACAATACAAAACATATTCCAAGTTTGCATGCATGTAATTTTGGTTATACAGAGTCCACTAGAAGAACAAACTAAATCTCAAACTACGTTATCACCTAAAACTTCAGTTTGTTTAAAAGGGACGTAGGCAACGTCATTCCTTCAAAGCCAGGTCACAGGGAAGTGAGTCACCTGCCAAAGGCCATTCGGTGGGGCGGTGGCAGAAATGGGAATAAAACACAGGTCTCAGCCTCAGCCCAGCACTGTGCCCATAAAGAGAACCTAGGGATTTGGTTTATCTAAGGGAAGAAGGCAGGGCACAGGACTAGCCACTGCCCTAACAGTAACAACAGTGTCAATACAACATATGAAAGTGTTAAATTTGACAGGCAAGCCATGCAGGATTAAGGTCTAGGGGATGCTGTAACGGGGTGCTGTACATCAGGATACTTACAGTAAAACCCAACAGCTGCGGGCGGGAAGGAAAGAAAAAACACTGCGTCAACACCACAACAAGATTTAGATGTTTACAAAACTTAGCAAGTGTAGGTAGTACACTGTCACAAATACTTTGGTTTTCTCTGCCATTCAAAAATGACAGCGTGTTTGTTCTAGTAAACCTAAAGGTAAGAAGGACCAGTTAGCAACAGTCCCTACTACGCACTAACTTGTACAGCATTAAGTGAAGATTCTTACAGAATATGTGTGTAGATCTCACGCAGACAGCAAGAACCTGGATTTGCAGCAAAAAGGGAACTTACTTCCTGTGGATATTTATGCACTTGACAGGATGTACCTGTGTACATCCCCTTTCAAGGGGAAATCTGCAAGTTTACATAAAAGTCATAGCCTCAAGGCACTTCACAGACTATGTAATTATACACAGAACTTACACTGGAAACGGGGAAACAAGATTCTGACTTGACATGTTTATGGGCAGCTGCATCTTACAACAAATACCTCCTGCAGCCATCCCATAAACTGTACCCTCCGGTAGCAGCAGTGACAGCACAGACTGCACAGCTCAAAACAGCTGTCAGTTTTTCACACACAGTCGAACAAACGTTCGTAAAACACTGAAGACCAACATCTTAGCATGTTGGTATCATGGCAGTCCTAGTCTTTCCACCATATATACTCCAAGATGGTGGATGGACAAGTGAAATCACCAGGATTACCAGTACTGGGAAGTGATGACAGAAGGGAAAGGTACAGACAAGGACAATCTGCTTCCACCACAGCTCTGAAACTCCAGTAAATCAGAGACTCTCAGAGGTGGCAACATTACGTCTTTGTGCAAAGAAGCTCAGTGTCACATTAAAAAAAAGCAGGCAAGGAAGGTTCAGACAGTTTGGATTTTCAGGAGTTCTCCAGTTGGGACCTGTCAGGGCCACAAGAGAAACTGGGAACTGCACTCGGCACGTCTGGTGCTGGTAAAAGATGTACTTTTCCCCTGAACCAGCTGCCTTATAATCACCCTGTAAATCAAGTTAATGCTGTTGGTTTACCTGAGGGATTAGAGAAATCCAGAATGCTAGTTGTAGGCTGCAGCAGGTCAGGGCTACTGGATGAGAGCGTTCCCGGAATAGGCATGATGGCCAGGCTGTGTCTGCACTGCCGAGTCCCCACAATGCTGTCGTCCTGCGACTGGCTCACACTGCCATCGCTGCAAAACAAGTTTGTTTCCATTACGTGCATTCAACTCCTGATATTCACCTTGGGATGCACGAAACTGAGAAAGCTATTGGCACTCAGATGTTTTAATTGCACTTGCACATTATAGATAGGCTTTCGAAACAAGGACAGAAAAAAAGCACGTTTGGAAGTGTTCGCTGGGAGAGAAAAGATATTCTGGTCTTGTTCCGCAGTTATGGGTCAGATGTGTTGCATTTTTAAAAAGCATAATCAACGCGGACATAAAGACTGAAGCTACTAAGCAACTAAAGTATCCCAACTTAATAAGGAACAACTCGATTTTGAGCAGAAGGGTGACAAACCTGAACAGTTTTGGAGGCAAGATGCTGAATCGGGTCTTGTCTAAAATTTTCCTGATTCTGTTTCTCCCACCAGATACAGTGTTCGCTTTCATTTTCTTGTTTCCTTTTTCACGGGGAAACATCTGTTCCACATCCCCAGGCATATCTGGGATGGAATAACGGTTGTTTTTCTTTTCTGCAATTTTTGGAATATGTGGAATTCCGTTCTTCTCCTGTCCGATCCTGCAGAGCAGCTCCTTAAACACTGTAAGAGAAGAGACAATCATTGAGATTTGCACACCAATCATCACAGTGAATTCTCCTCTCCCCTCAAACCTTTTGCTTTGCACATCCCTGCAGAAAAGTGAACCAAGAGTTACAAACCAGATGCTAAAACTGTGGGTCTTTCCCCACTGGAGCTTCGCTTTTGACTGCCTTGGCAGAAAGCATAACCCCCACATGTTCAATAAAAGTGATCACACATTCTGCATAGCAGAGTTTTCCTAACTACTGCTGAAATCAGCATGCACCGCAGCAAATTTCACAGACCTACTCCACCATTACCGGGCAGGTAATAAGGAAACATCGCATTCACGGCCATCAGCTCTAGGTATTTACTGACATTTTTGTCTGCATCTTCTAGGTAACGGAGTGCGGATGCTTCCTCAACATTAACCGCAAGACAGACTGATATTGTCCAAGGCTGCCTTTGTTTGCTTTTAGTAGTAATACTGCACAGAAGCTGCATCAAATTTCCTATTGCATTTATCAAGCTAAGCCAGTCTACTGCCAGCACTGACGTTCCCAGAGATATAATTTCATGGAAAAGATTGTTTGTATTGCTTCCCACATATAAAAGGTGAAAACAAGTTGTTCAAATTCATTTGTCAATATGGTATTTGTGTTTTTAAGATCTTTTTAAATCACTCAAGTCAGAAACTCCATATTTTCTCTCAAAACCACAGTGATACTGGGAGAAGGCAGAACTGTGCTGAGCAAACTACTCGGACTGTCCCTACAAGCAAGGCAACCAGGACTTTCTGCACAGAAAGTCCCTGTCAAATTGCACATTTTCTTATGTAATAAAATTATAGGGGCTACAAGCCTTCACAGTATAGATTCAAATATAAGAACAGGAATTACTTGTCAGCACCAGGCACTTTGCACTCAATTCAAAAGACAGGATAAGTATCACTGCTGAAGAAAAGCTCCAAGACATGAATTCATTAAAATTTATCAGAGAAATCACCTTGAAATTATATCAGCTAGGAGGAAGAGAAGAGATTAGATCAACTCAAACAAGTATTTATAATACAAATAAACAATCTGTCACTGTTTTGGTTACAGTTATACTCTATTTTATGTCACTTCACATTACTCTGGACCACCGGTTAGCATGGTTGCTTTATGCCTCTTTGGAATTATGCTAACGAGCAACTGCTAGGATCCTGAAACATTCTACCTGCAGTGACAAACAGAAAATAAGAACTGAAAAGAAAATCAACAGCGAACAACAGGAGGAAACTGCCGGAAGACAGTAAGAAGGAAACCATCAGAAGGTCTCAGCTAGAGCTGGAGAGGAAGGAGCTTCCTTGTGTACAGTCCCATTCTCCCTGCAGCTAGGGTTACTCCGTTAACAGGATTATGGAAAAAGAAAAGATGATTTGACTGAGATTTTAAAGAGGTATTTATGATTTTATATGCACATTGACAATTAAAAGCCAACACTTATATGCCATACTGCTTTTTATACCCTCTTTCCCATTTTAGATATAAAGGCCATTTATCCTGTCGTCCTCACAGCCATTAAAAAAAGTTTTACGAAAGCCCAGTTTTACATTTTTGCTGTTTCTTGGCAAAAATATTTTGGCCCAGATCCCTTGGCTGTTTCAGCCATATCGCATGAAGGGACACTAAAGCCGCTTTAACAGTCATTTGAGGATTTCTCAGGGAGTAAAGAGCTGGCTGTGCTGGCTTTGTGCCACTCAACGTGCAGCCCCTGGCACACAAGAACTCATCCAAGCAAATGGAGGCACAACGAGGCGACTTCCCCACAAGTGATCACTCCTACAGCAAGTTGGAAAAAAAAGGTGGAACCTTATTGCCTTTCTACAGCCAGGAAGACTGGAGTTCTCCTTCACACCCACAAGAATACAGCATATATAACATCTACTCACCGAAAATGTTTGTTTTTACAGTAATAGAGAGATGAGTGTTGTTCCTTAAGATTTCCAGAGCTTTTACAAAGGTGATGTTCTCAAAATTCTGTCCATTTACTTCCATTATCTTTAATAAAAAATAGAATTTGGATGATTGAGCAACGGTTTATGACAGACTTACAAACACAAAGTAACACAGGCACAGGAAGAACCTTCCAGAAGTTATCATGTTACCCTCACAGCAGGTGGAGAATGAAAACATTCCTTGTAAAACAACTGCTTTCATCACGCTAGCGAAATAAAGAAGACAGAAGCCCCATTTCTCCCTGACAAATGCTTTAACCAAATTTATTTTCTGTGGTAACATGACATTTTTGCAATTAGGAACTGCACCCGAAGGCAGGATGGTGGGTCACGAATGGCAGAACAGACATCCCATCACAGGCTGACCTCCACCGGGAGCGAACCGCCACTGCTCCACCAGCCTCACTCTGCCCAGATGATCTACACTAGGTGGGAACCGCTCCAACAAAACAACCCAATAGCTTCAACCTAACCACACCTGCCAGCAGGAAGTCTCCTAAAGTAACTACAATTTGGTTCCTTTTCCCATTTGGGTTTTTTTTTTTTGCAATGTTTAAGTATTTTGAGAACTATTTAATGGAAACCCATTTAGCACACAAATCGAAGCTGGGCTGTGGCATCCTCAACAGAACACTAAGCCAGTTGTTTACTTTTAGTAAACAGCATATCCATATTCATCTTCTCAGGAACACCAGAGTTAGTTGAACCAGAATTTTTTTTACTAGACAGATGGATATTTTAAGTGACCTTCATTCCTTCATTCCTTTTACCTGATCACCACGCTTGAGTCCAGCCTCGGCTGCTTTACTGCCCATTTCCACAGTCTCTACAAAAATTCCAAACCCCTTGTCGCTTCCTCCAAGGAGGCTGAAAAACAATGGCGAATCTCTAGAAGGTTTTTGGAGGGTGATTTGTCTCCATTTTGCTTTGGCAGCACAGGCAATATTCAGCAACCTGAGATGGCCTTTCATTTTCTGCAACAGAGAAGACACAACATGGAGCACAACGCTTCTTTTGGTGGGAATGGAAAAAGAGGTGTGACAAAAATACCCAAGTGCCAGGCCATGTATCCAAATCTTACTAAACAGACTTTGTCCTCTTCTGCAGTAATGTGAACACACGTAAATCACTGCCTTGCCTACTATTTTATATGGTTTTTCGATCTTAATATATACTTAAGAACAAGTATGTCCATGTTAAATGCCATCTACTGACTGTGAGACTTAGAACGTGTTAGTCCCTGGTAACACACTGGAAAATGAAAACCTGTAACAACTGTAAGCATGCCAGTCACTCTTTTTTGGACCTACCGTATCTTCCAAGTTCTTTTCAAATTCTTCCAGAAATCGAGTCATAGCAGGATCGCCTTCAAAGTCATTAAAGTGATTGTTCACCCACAGCAAAACCACCCTGGTAACCTGTAAAAAAGATAACATCATGCATCTATAAAGGTACCTATGATTCTTCTCCTATCTGCTTTAATCTATGAGGAAAGAAGAACACAAGGACATCGTATCAGGGTTGGAACTAGATGATCTTTAAGGTCCCTTCCAACCTAACCCATTCTGTGATTCTACAACATGGCAGAACAACATACTGCAGATGACTGCATCTGTTAACAAGCTTTACACTTGAAATTATCTTTTCCTTTACTTGTGGAAAGAAAATAAAAAATAAAACACTCTCACATTTTTGTACCTAGTTGGCTGCATAACCCAGTACTTCCCACTGCACAAACCCATCTTAAGTTAACTCTTCCTCATACTGCTTATAAAACTTCTCTTTTTAAAGCATCCTAATGATCTCCTTAAAGAAAGTTCTAGGAAATACACTCTGATAATAAAAAGCTTTCTTTTAACAACTTTTACTTGCTTTTGTACGTGCCATTACTGCCATTCATGGTAACGTAAAAAGGTTAATCTACAGCAGTTTCTCTTCTAAAAAGCAACAACTTCCTCGTATTTGCCGAGGCGGTTTTCTTTTACTTTCCTTTTCTTAAAAAATCCCTGTAGTCACCAAAATGAACAGCATGGGAAAAGGTAAGAAGAGAAGAGAAGCAGTAACCACAGCAAAAGACTCCAGACAATTTCCTACACACAAAAAATACAGCACTTTGGTAGCCTGTTGGGTTTCCTTCAGCTCAAAGCTAGAACACACAAAACTGCTGGCTAAGGATTTTACTGCCATAATTTCCAGCAAATTGCGTACAAGCTCCAGACTATAAACATTTTTCATGTGTATGTGCACACAGTTACACGGAGTTGGACCTCGTTCTGCTTCTGGAAGCATTTTTATCAACGGCACCTGTCCTGAGCAGAGTTTATTTTAAGTACAGTTTGTACTAAGCTGCTCAAACAAAATGTGCTCGACACACAGAAAAGCTGAACAGCAGAAAACCATGGAAGACAAGCACAATGCTGTTGTGAAGAGAAGATGGTATGTCCAAGAGATCATGAACAATTTCCCTGCATTTCTTGTGAAAAAGGATTTCGGAGACTGCATTTATATCTTTAAGCAGAAAACAGTATTTATCGTTCTGCTGAAGAGCAGCAGCATCGTACTGAATTTGGGATAGTACACTTCAGGCATCCAGCACACTGGAGAATCCTTTCTTGATACTAGTGAAAATTACTTTAAAACATATCATATAAAATAGCTGGAGCATAATCCCAGTTTATCAGCAACACACAAACAGACACAAACAAAATCAATTTGGAGACATTTTCACCAGAAACACGAATCTCTTCAACTCAAACCAACCTTATCCCTGAGGCTGTCCACTGTGAACCATTCCAAGAGTTTATTTCCAACTTCCAGGGGGCTTGTCAGAAACGTTCTGTATGTTAACAGGAAATCTTCAATGTAGGTTGGATCCACAATAGAATGTTCTTCTATTAAGTGCATGATGAGTCGCTCAGGTGTTGCCTTAAAAATTAAATGCAAAAAATAACTGATAGCTCTCATCATTACCCCTTTCTAGTGAATATCTTAACCAAAATCCTTGTGAACAATATGCTTCCTTTTCAAAATTTCTGTTATGGCAAAACACAGGAGAAAAAACACCTAACGTGTTTAAATCAAACCTTCATACTTTAATCAGTCCAAATGTTTTGCATATATAATGTCTGGCTAAAACTATTAGTAATTTTTCTTAATTTTCAGTTTTAAGGTTCAGTTCCAGCTTACAGAAAACAGGTCTATAAATAAAGATGCACACAGGGTGCTACCAGTACTAAACTCAATGTGTGCTGAAGAGGTCTGACTATATTAAAAAGGAGATGGAAGTAAATTTGTAAGATTATATATATTCCTTCCAATCATTTTTTTGAGCTGAGACAGACAAAACTGAGTATGTGTTCTAGAATCAATCTGGAATTTTAATTATTTACTAATAAGTAAAATTTTAATAGATTAATGGAAAGCATAGAAAGAAATTCACCTTGATAACTATGTGTCCTTTCCTGGTTCCACTGCGATCCAGCTCTCTGTGCTCCTTTACCATCACTATTTCTCCTTCTTCCTCCACTTTGTGAGTGTTTTTTTCCACGTGGTTCAGAATCCTCCAGTAGTCTTGCTGGGCTATACACACAAACTGCCCCCAGACAACACGGGGTAGTTAATAAATATCCAAACCAGGACTGTCTGCCCATGTCTGGGCTATTCAACACAATCACAACAGCACGGCATTTAATACCAATCCCCTCGTTCTGCCCAACTGCACAAGACAGGAAGTTAGAAACAGACCAAAAGAACTGGTCACCTTCTCCAAAAAGTTGTTTGAATAGGCTAAACAGCTAGAGTAAAAAGCTAAGGAGTGGAAATGGGTGTTTTCTATTTATCTGTGCTTACTGCATGTCGATCCCACACACAGCATGACCAGGGTGGACAGAGCTTACATGTCATCAGAAAGCAGAAGTTCCTATTTCTCACCCAACAGCAGCGTGAAATAAATCCTAGCTACTACAATGTACAATTAACTCAACATCACCAGAGCCCCTGATCCATAAAATACCAACCTCCTTTATTCTGCTCCTGGAGTCATGCCTTAAGATGACAGTGGTCTGCTTTCTTTTATTAGATGCTTAAAAATACAAGGTAGTTGTACAGAATTGCAGTCTTACCTGACAGTCGTCTACTTTGGTTCTGACCACTCCATTCATGTACTGTTTCTCCAGAGAGGGAGTAATCCCAAAACTATTTCCCATACAGAGACTCTCACTCTTCCCATCAGGATAGCTGATTTCCACTGTGCCATTTAAAATTACATACCAAGAATCAAGCTAGAGGAAGTAAAAAAAAGATTAAAAAGTAAAGCTAATTCAACAACTTTTACAAGCTGTTCCAACACTCTTAGCTCAGAAAGGCTTATTCTTGCAGTCTCCAGCTTGTTGTCACAACAGTCTTGCAACATTTAATTCACCAAAAATGTGCACTGTAAGGCAAGCAATAGACGACTGAAACAAGAATGCTTTTCAGCATTCTTCATTCATTTCAGAACTAATTTAGTAGGGAGGAATGCTGATGAATAGACTGCTTTTTTAATTAGCTACAGTGTATTTATACCATTTAATGAGAATGAACACTATTCCCCAGGGTACAAGAGATTTGCTCACTACCAGAAACTAGAGTTTACCTGGTTTTCTTGGAAGAATGACCTGCTACAGCCATTCCAGATGTCTTGATCCAAGGACAGAGGTTTCAAAATAGTGATTCAGGGCACCTATGTTGGGAGCCCAACCTCTGGCTAAATTGAACATCCCTCTTCTCCCACTGAGTATGCATGGAAACTGCTCCTAATTTAGACATTTATGATATCTACGTTGTTGGGCAAGGATACCTCTCTACATTAGTAGTTTATAACTTACATTATAAGAAGGACAGTCATTTTACCAATGGAAATGACACATTCTTCCATGTCCCAAATAATCTTTGAAATAAACTCTTCCAGCTGTTAGCACTTACCCAATAACAACATCCCGAGTGCCGTTCTATGTCTATACTTGGCCACATGGGAGTCTTGAACAAGACAGTAATACACAGGCCAAACCTCCCAAAGGGATGGGCTATGGTTTGGGGATTTGGGATGTGGGTCACCTGAGAGAAGAATCCTCTAACTTTCAGGTTCAGGAGTGTTGGGGATATGGGAAACAGCTTTTCCAGCCCTTCACCCCCAGCTGCCCTTGCTAACCTCCAGCCTACAGCACACAAATGGTGTTCCAAGCAGTAACTTACTTCTTGGCCGTCTTCAAGTATGATGGCTCCTGCTTGCTCTACTACTTCAAATATCATCACTGAGCAAAGTTCTCTCCTCACAGACATAGTCATGTTTGCAAAAGCAGGGAGTTGATGCATGAATTCCAGTAATTGCTCTGTTAGACATAGGAAACATTGCTATGAAGACTGCAAGGCCCAGGGGTTCCTTAGATACCTTACCCTCCGTTACGTTGCAATCCCCATTAGTGCCCGTGGCTACGCGAGCCCCGTAAGCATTCTGTCATCGCCAACCAGAACTCGGCTCGACAGTCCTGATCGTGTCCTGACTGACCCTCACGGCAGCAGTCTGGCTAGAGTGTAAAAGCACTTCAGCTTAAAGGCGTTTAGAAAAATTGAAGATACGCTTATGGTACAGTAATTCTAAGCTTGATAGGAGCATGAAATTATTTTCCAGCGTTTAGAGGAGTAATATGAAATATAGCATAATGCAAATTTCACTATTAAAACTAATGCCGATTTCTAGTTAAACACTGCAGTAAGTTATTTTCATGTTAAATGTTTATAAGTTTACAGTTAAGTATATCTATACTGTAGTGAGAGTATATTATACTCTCTCACATTTAGTAAGTAATTTAACAGTTTCAGGCAGTCAAAATTACCTTGCTAACTATCCTACTCTTATTTCAACACATAAAATGACTGTAATACTTAATATCTTAAGCATCCCAAAGACCTTTTTTTAGAAATACTTAGTTTCTCAGAACAAATATTCAGATAGTAAGAAGTAAGAGGAGAAATCACTCAATTAACAGCATCACTAGAGCAAAGTGATCTCTAGAAGGCATTATTCATAATTATGAGGATATACATTTAACATGAACTCATTAAACAGTTCTCACATACGATTCTCTTATAAACATGATATACTTTTACATAAAGATTGGGTTTTTTCTCCTTACCAATATCATCATCAGTTTTATCTGCAGGCTCTTTCTCAAGGCACTCTCGTACAACGTCTCGCCCCAGTAGTGGATCTGAAGTTCTGTCAATATCTTCATCCTCCTCCTCTTCTTCATCTTCAGAGTCTACAGGTGCTTCTGGAAGACCTGTTAAATCAACGTCTCCCATCTCACTTTCTGTAGCCTACAAAGAAAACATCCATCAGACAGAGTCTTCAGTTTAATGATTTATGGCCTTAGGTAGCTAACGCAACAAAAGAAACCCCGTGACCAACAATTCAAACTAGAGATTGTAGCAGCTCCCTTTCTGAACATCAAGAAAAACACGTTATGCTGAAATCTACGGCTACAGGACGGTACAAGTATCTACCATCGGTATAAAGCAGCAACAGCAGCTACAGCAACGCAATCACAAGATCTGAAACCAAAATTAACATTCTGGGACACTTGTTCTCTGTCTGTACTCACATCCCTCCCCACCTCCCATGAAACACAGGCAATACAAACCCATCAATATCAACCATGTGACACAGGGAAAAACCAGCAGATTGAGTGGCAGAAATGAAAGGGATTTGATCACATTTTTTATTTTGGTATCATAACATGGATTTGAATCCTGGCATAGAGTATGTCAGGTAGAGTACATAAATGGGGAGGCAGAGGGAAGGAGATAAGGATGACTCTTCTTTCCTGTCAGCTGATTCTCATTTTATAGCATTCACTCCTTCTTGTGAATTCACATAAGCAAAACGTTTTTTTCACTATTTGAGAGTCTATATTATTAACAAAATAATAGATTAATTCAGGAGCACCACTGGTTACCCAACGCCTGCAGACACATTCCTACTGTCATCAATAGATGGCAATACAGATACCACGCTGAGCCGACACACTGTGCAAAGGAATGCAACACTGGCAACAAAAAGCAGAATCACATAGGAATCATTTGCAACAATTCCTTATGTAAAGTTTAAATGATGTAATTGTGTGAAAATAACTTTCCAAACAGATGGAAGGGGAAAAAAAAAAAAGTAGTTTGAAATTCAGGAGAGTAGCGCCTCCAATCCCTTTTTTTTTAGTTTAAGCCAGCATGCAAATCATTTTTCTGTTCAAATTCAAAAATTTGAACAACAAGATGTGTCACTGAGAAGTATAAGGCAATTATACAGACTTGCAGAAAAAGGAGTTGGTTTTTTTCTTTTATAAATGAACACATTTATAATATTCACTCTCACTTTAAAAGAAATCTTTGAGACTTTACAAACGCTAATGACAAACTAACACATCAAATACTCTGCAGGTTCACAAAACCTCCAAAACAAAGGATGGGTCCTGTCCAACCTGATTTGAACATCCACAACTTCTCTGGGCAATCTGTTCCAGTGCCTCAGGACGCTCACTGTCAAAAATTTCTTCCTTATATCCACCCTAAATCTACTCATTTCCATTTTAAAACTGTGGCCCCTTGTCCTGCCAATACAGGCCCTGGGAAAAGGGGTCTTCTAAGAAAGGCTTTTAACTACTGAACAGTCTCCCTGGAGCTTTGCTCCCTTTTCTCCCATTACTGGAGACTTCACCCACTGCCACGACTTCTCAAACTGGACGGAGAGTAGCTCAGCACCGACGTCGGCCAACTGCCTCGGGGCCCCGGGACACATCGCATGGGGTCCCATGGACCTGAGCACGGCCAGGTTCCTCAGGTGGTCTCAAACCTGATCTCCTCTCCATGAAAAGGACTTGTTCCCCCAACCCCTGTCTTGAGGTTCAGGGACTCAGGAAATGTAGGAAGATTGAACAACACTGAAAACTGAGGCAAAAAAAAATTGTTGAGCACCTCAGCCTTCTCCATGTCACTAGTTCTCTTTATGGTGGGGAGGGGAGTACATTTTCTTTAATTTCCTTTTTTTGACCAATATAGCTGTGGTTATTGCTCACATCCTTTGCCAAAAGAAGAGGCTCCGAGGAGACCTCATTGGAGCTTTCCAGTATCTGAAGCGGGCCTACAAGGGTGCTGGGAGAGGACTTTTTACAAGAGCCTGTAGTGACAGGACAAGGGGTAATGGGTATAAATTGAAAGCAGGGAGGTTTAGATTAGATATCAGGAAGAAATTCTTCACAGAGAGGGTGGTGAGGCACTGGGACAGGTTGCCCAGAGATGTTGTGGATGCCCCATCCCTGGAAGTGTCCAAGGCCAGGCTGGATGTGGCTTTGAGCAACCTGGTCTAGTGGAAGGTGTCCCTGCCCATGGCAGGGGGTTGGAACTAGATGATCTTTAAGGTCCCTTCCAACCCTAACCATGCTATGATTCTATGATTCTATTCCTGCACCTACGTTTGACCAGGAGGTCCTTACTCAGCCCGGCTGGGCTCCTGCCTTCCTCGCCCCGTAACACACAATGCGCATTTCAAGTGAGTCCATCGCAGCAGACGGCACTGCCTCCACCTTCCTACACGCTCCACGCTGACCGACTAACGCAAGCCCAGCTCTCTGACAGCTGAGCAGCACCTCCTCCTCTCACTAGACACAGCAATACTGGTTTTGGATAGAACCTTGAACCCTTAAGCTGGTCCTCATTTTAACACTTAGCCAGCAAACCTAATAAATCAGGCTTAAATGACTGAACATAAGTACTTCTTTCAGAGTAGGATAACAATACATATAGGGTTAAATCTGTTTTATATTACATCACTTCACTGGCTTATGTAGCTCACATTAACAGTTTTGGAACTAAGCCCAAGTGCAAACTGTGCTTGGAGAGCCTCAGCAGCACATGATCAGTACAGCATTTTATTTCTGGCATTTCTTAATCTAAATAGCCACAATTTGTATCAACTTTTCCAGGCAGAATAAGACAGACTACAGTACTAATTCCCACTCTGATAACCTCAAGCAAAAGATAACAAAACTGAAGGTATAGGTACTACAAATAAGTGAGTCATTAAAATTTTCATTGTATATCCTACAAGGGACGATAAACCAATCTTCTCCTGATAAATAAGTTACGATTTGATCAAGCTATGAAATAGCAATGGTCCCCAAACTGAGTTCCAAAGATAACGTGTGGATGGTTGACAAAACGCTGGCAGGTCAGGCAGTGCTGGAAGGAGCAGGAAGGATTTCGCTCATCAAACTGTCTGCAGAAGTAGCAGCTCTTCCCAAGCATGGTGCCCCAGCTGTTTCCATTATCAGATATCAAAACCCTAATGGAAACATTTATGAATGACTAATTTACAAAAGGAAACCGGAAACTGCAATCCTCAATTCTTACACGTATATGGATTTTGAGGACTGAAGCTATAGGACAAGAGTATCTTGAGAAGGCAGCAGGAACAAACGGTGTGTGCCACGTAGGTTATCTGGAAAGTTAACACCAGTTTACTGTCAACACATTTGTTTGCCCTTTGAAAACCATACTATTATTACTGCATATACAGCCCTGCAAAATTTAACATGTTCCAGCTCTGCCAAGTGTTGATCACGGAGATGTCCTGTACACTGGCCTATGCTCTGGAAGGCCCTTGCAAAGTTTTGGTGTTAATGACAGGTACCCCGCTACAGTGTGTATCAGAAAGCATACACCGATAGAAAAAAGGTACTAAATATGTCTCATGTAAAAGATTTCCCTGGAGGATACTTAATACATGTCAAAGCAGCTGTTTGCAGAAGTCAGAATCCCTCATTTCAACTGTTGTGCGCATAGCCACTGCTTCCCCTGCTTCTGTCTACACACCTCAGTTCTGAAACTAAGGATCCTGGCAGAAAGGGGTTGAATGAAAAAATTAAAAACAAACCTTAAAAATCCACCTCAAGCAAATTAAAGAAGTTGCATTAAAAATTGTAAGGAATAGCTTTCTATATATATGTAATTTTTTTTTAAGTCTACAGTCCAACAAATCAAACAAACAAACAACAAAAAAGCCCAAGTGCTCTGCAGGATTCCAAGCCAGGTGGACTTTGGAATAAACACATTTGGACATTTTACCACAGAAAGACTGAAAGCTCCAACAGGGAGCAGCAACAGCACAGAATAAGGGAGAAAAATATCCTCACACACGTATTTTCATACGTTTATGCAATTACTTGTTAATTTAATCTGCAATTAACTGTTTCTGTAACTAACAGGACTCCTGTTGTGCTGATCTCACCTTAAGCTTTGTGTTCATCATTTCCCGTGTAACATCCTGGACTGAGAAGCAGCCGGGACACGTGAAACCTCATTTCAACACTATCGATGAATATAGCGTACACAGATGAACAGAAACCCTTTCCACAGCTTAATAACATTCGGTTCATTCTTTGTTTCTACCACCGTAATCCCATTTTCCTATTCTGGAATGACGTTTGCACTACTTACTGTAAAAACTAATGTTAAGTTACCATTAATTCAAAAGGTCATTTCAAGGCTACATTAACCCAAATCATTCATAAATGCTCTCCTCTGCTGACATTAATGATACTCTTAGAGAGTTTGGCATCTGAGAGACATGAAGCTGACTGCAAAAGCAAAACCTCTTTTTCCAAATACTTTGGAAGGTGCATTTTAATGTAACAAAAATGCTTTCAGCTTCTGAGCCCAGACATCCTACTCAACATGTAGGTTTACTGCGTATCAAAGAGATTCTCTACCTTCGTAACATCACAGTGAATATGGGGGGAAACACTGTTTTCTTTCCGAATTCAGCATCTGTCTCTACTGATGCGTCACTGCAATATGATGTTAAATAATATAATGTTAAATCTGAAAGGCAAACAATGAGAGTCTTCCCCAAAACGGTTACAGCTCCTGCATACAGCCCAAACACCCAGCATCTTTTCACAGTTTGCTGTCTGAACACGATGCCTACAAGAACTAGACACGAAAAATTCACTAAAAATTAAGGGTGGGAACAAAAAACAGTGGGTTCTTTGGATTTTCTTCCCCCCTCATGACATGCCTGTTGCACACCTTCTCTCTACCCACAGTTTATGAGGTGCTGGATTCTCCAGAGCTTTCTCTCAGGATTAATGACACTGTGGCTACAGTGCTGGAATGTTGCGCGAGGTCTTCCAAGATGAGTCCAGCAGTGGTAACCTGGCTCAGACATCACCCCGGCTGCCGGGAAATTCTCAGTGAGGTTTAGAGATGTCCACGTTCCCTGCAGGATGCAAACCCAGATGGGCTGGTGTCGCTGAAAAGGAGGTTCCTACCTGAAAGGGCCTCACTCCTCGAAATTAATAGATAATTGGCAGCTGTTTTCACATTCATGAATTAGTAATTTCTTAAGGTACAAAAACACATTTCACCATGTTTATTTGCTACAGTGCATATAAATAGCCACTCCATTATTTCTTTTATTTATGAAATTCTTATTTGTTTAGCAATTATACTCTTTTGGCATTTTCTGAAGAGTAAGGCATTTCAAATGCCATTAACCACACATGAGTATTCACTCATTACTAGAATGATATTTTCGTTATCAATAATATATTTTAAAAGCTTTTAACTCAGAGTGACCTCTCCAAACTACTCAGATAGACAGGCAGGCAGACGTTGGTCAGGAAAACAGTCCGTCAGCATCCCAGTATATGAGATGTTAAGGTACAATACCCAGACTAGTTCTGGTGACTCTCTGACTAATTAAATCAATTCTCTTGACTTATAAAATGGAAAAAAAATAAATAAACCTCAAAACGCAGATGAACATCTTCCAGCACTGCCTCTCAGAAATCAAAACTCAAGAGAATTTTGAAGAGACTCTCTCAGGGATGCACGCTACTCCTGACCTAGCTGGCAGCAAGGACATCTGAAGTAGTAAGGTGATAGATTAAACAGGACAAAAATGCAGAGATGCTTAATGTTCTAAAAGGATTTTTGCTTGCAAGGCTTTATTTTTACAGTTACCTAGCAGTACTTGGCTGTAAATAAGATACCCCAATAATGTCCGCTTAGTGTATAGAAATAGTACCCAGACAGTAGCCAAGGGAATAGGTGTCTAAAATCAAGTTACACCTACATTGTGCTCGATGTAGGTTGCTATATACTCAGTATTGTGTTCAGATTTCCACCTGGAAGTGGAAAAGCTGTGAAAGTACTGATCAAGAGAAACCCAAGACGAGCACCATCATCAACCAGAACAAAACAACCCCATGAAACTAGCTCTGCAATTCGACATGAGACGGATAACTTATTAAGTATATTATCTGTACGCAAACGAAAGCTATCTCTGGATTTCAGACAACTTCTGTTCTCAGCAAGCAACACTAGAATTTCTACAGTCAATAGTGCAGAGAGTGCATTTATTACCACGCTTTTGTTTGCAGAACAGAACATCTGTTATTAACAATAAATACAAATAATCAAGGAAGGTATTTGAAACACAAGAATGATTTCATTAAATTTGTTCCATTTCAGAAGGAAAGAAAATGATCCCCTAAATCACCAAATGTGACTTTTAAAAGCAACAGCACAATTGTTGGTATATAAAAGATGTGAAAAGCAACAAAAGCATTTTATAAGAAGTTGGGTTTCCTTGTACGTGGCTGCAAAGGTGGCGGGTCACCTGAGCAACACAGAGATGTACAGAAGCATCAAGAGGACAAGTCTTGGATAAACACCACTGATTTTTGTTTATGGAATGTTTAATGTCAAGGAAAGAAAAATTACAGAATGGTTTTGGTGGGAAGGGACCCAATAGCCCCACCAGTCCCAGT